AGAGATTTCAGTCCCAACAACATTCACGGAGTACTAATATGTGTAATTACGAAGTAGTCATTTGTGCAATCAGAAAGTTGCATTAGCATAATTATTTCTGGCCCTGGGCCTTAAAAATATTAACTTAAAACGAAAAAACCTGGTAATAGTTCACCTAATAAAGATGTGAATACCAAAAGGGTCATGAAGTAAGAGTTGGCTCTTTGACAAATGCGCTCTGTGTTTAATTCTTTCTCTCCTGCCCTGGATCTAACATCAAGCCTAACCCTCCAGCTACCTAGAGGCACAAAATTCCTACTGGTAATACATATCCTTCATTATCCAAAGCCCCCATATTAATATTCATTAAGAATAAAACTATTTCCACAAGAAATGAGTGTGCTGCTTTAAAAAAACCTTCATGCAAAAATACATTAAGTTCATGTATAATACTTCAAAATGCAAATAAATAAAGAAGCCAAACAATTCTATAAAACAAAGGATCACGGTCACTAAACAGCTGCAAGATCTCGGGAAATCCATTGTAAGTTTCTCTCTGGGACAGAAGTGGATCGAGTGCGGGCTTGGATCCCAAGTCCACCCCCTAATTTCCTCTTCTCTTCCATGAGGATAATCACAGGACCTACTTCTTAGGGTTCATCAAGGGGTACGTGGGATTACCGCGCCCAGGCGCCCCTAGTGCCTGGCATGCAGCAGATGCCCTATAAATGCTGGCTGCCAGGACTGCTGTCATCAGCCTCATTTCCTTCATCGTCTTCGGAACCTGGGGGGAGAGTGTGTGTGGTGGGAAAAGCGCGATCTAGAATTGATTCGTTTTTAGATACAACATTTGATTTGCAGTCGCAAATAGCACTCAAGAAAGGAAGAGGTTTCACCCATCCCAATGAGTTGGAAAGGTTAAGAGTAGCTTAACTAGACCCTAAGATCTCTCTTATCCTCTAACAGTCTTCCTTTTCAGTGACTTCCAACTCCACCAAATATTGCCAAATGAACCCACAATACGAACCCTCTATTAACTCTTTTTAACCCAAAACTAAATCACAGAATAGTTTTGCTGAGTTCACTGATGTTCAGAGTTATGGGTCTTTGATTAAAAGCCTAGACAACACACAAGAGAAGGAATGTTCCTAAGAATTCAAAGAAATGAAGGTCAGACCAAGGTAAGCCCTATCAAGTGAGCTATCTTGACCAATTTAACTACTTTTCACCAACAGTCCCTCATCTGTCAAAGGCAAGGTTACGCATCTTGTAATACTGTTATGAGGCTTAGAAATAATTACATCCAGTACTCAGCCACTAGCAAAGAACAGGTCTCCATAAATGGCAGCATTTTAATGGGCACAATCTCCCTCTCCCCCTCAACTAATATACACACGCAGTATAAAAGTTGGGCTTTCTCAAATAATCATGAATATTACAGCACAGGTCGGACCTGAATAAAGGAACTTCTCCAAATTTCTACACACTACTCCCAGGAATTCAACTGTGCACACCCCGCAGAGAGGTGGGGAGAACACGGGAGAGGAGAGAGAGGACAGCTGACATCTCGTCCTGGCATTTAAGGCCGCCAGTCCACGTGGCGAACACGCTGTGCAGAGGGTGAACTGGAAACACGCCTCTGCGGCGCCAGTGCCTGGGCCCGATGAGATCTAAGGAAGCGCATGTGTGTAAACACAGCTCCTAAGCACAAGCCGACCACTTCAAGTGGCCCTTCACCGAAACAGCAATCTGCTCCAGCTCCAAGGACACGGCCCTTGGGAAGGGCAGAATGGCCACACTGTACTCGAGGAGCCATTCAAGGGACTTCCTGACTAAAGGGACCCTGCCTTCATAGGACCGCCGAGCCCAGTGAGACAAGCGCACTGACGTGCGGGTCCTCCAGGTTCTAGTGGCAGGCTCAAGGCCGTGGGAAAACGACGACACGCAGCTAGGACGAAGAAGTAAGTGCTTTGATGGGAATACTAACAATCTATTCCTCCAATTATCCAAGCCAGTTACAAAAAATGAATGGGAGGGGGGTGGGGACTGGATAAAAAGGGAAGGGATTAAGAAATACAAATTGGCAGTTACAAATAGTCCCAGGGATATAAAGTACAGCATGGGGAATACAGTAAACAACATTATAATAACGATGCATGGTGCCAAGTGAGCACTAGACTTATTGGGAGGATCACTTCCTAAGGAATATAAGTGACTAATCACTATGTTGTACACCTGAAACTAAGATGATACTGAATATCAGCTGTAACTGGAAAAAAATTTTAAATAAAATAAAATTTTAGTGTTTTTAATGGCAGGTCCATTGCCCCAGAAAAGTCTATAGAATTAACAACTCCTAATCCGAGCCTTCTGCTGTCACTCTAAGATTCCCCTATTTTTCCTAAAGCCAAAAAGGAACAAGAGAAAAGGCCAATGTCCTCTACACAGAAGCGCAGGCCAGCCTTCCCGCTCAGCCTCCATACCCAGGCTTCTCAGTGCGCAGCGGGCAAGTCACGGAAGAGCACGGGACCAGGGGGTGCTCCCCAGCCCTCGGGACCGGCCTCCTCGCCCCCGCCCCAGCAGCAGTGAGGCTTGCGCACATAACCCACATCTCTTGGACCCCAGCTTTACGTTTCACTCATCAAGACAGGAATGCAGTCCTTGTCTGTGGACTTGGACATCAGCAGCATGGGACCTAAACCAGCGGTTTACAGGGAGCTATGTGAACTGGAGTGCTGGGACCAAACACAGAACTTATTTTCCTTTTAATCTTATCTCTATAAATGTTCTTTATTGGGTATTTTATACTATATCTAAGGTAAAAGTAAAACATCTAGACTATTTTAACTCTGTAAGTAAAAATGTGAACTCAGTTGAAGAGCTGTGCTCCAACATTCCAAAAAACCTGAAATCAATTATCTAAATAAACTACCAACTAAATTTCTAACAGTTACCTCTAGCTTTATAAGATTCTTAAGGCCACTGATTTTAACTAAGCAATAGCTGGTTTCAAATATAATTTCAAATCATAAATAAAATAAATTGCCAACTTCATATAAAATTTAAAAATACATACCTATTATATGTTTTGATACATTTATAAATAAACTGGAGCTAATATATAACAATATGGTGTCAAATCCATGTTGCAGAAACATACTGAATTTTACAAAGAAACATATTGAATTTTAAATAGTTCATAACTTAGTTGTGACTTACTGAATGGCTCCCAAATTATACTATTTTGCTGGTAGAGTAATAATCTATGGTTAAGACTAATTTACAGCATATCTACTTTGTTTATCTGTCTTAAATGTTTGAAACAGCTAACAAATGACCACATGAAACAATAGTCCTCTAAACTAGCTAATGTTTGTCAAAGCAAAAGTATTCTGTCTGAAGGAGAAATGTAAGTTATGTAAATAATCAAAATATACATACCTTAAAAGAAATTTAAAGTCAGTTGAGATTCAGTAACAAAGTTATGGGGTTCTATGGAGTATTTAACTCTGTAAACTGGGAAAAGTAAAGAAACTTTCATCCATATAACCTCTTACAACTCAAAACGAAAGCATTCTAAATTGAGGAGCTGGAGCAAAATAATCTTCAAAAAATAAGGGTGAACAGACAGCACTGTTTTCTTCTTGTCTTAGTTAAATATAACACCCTAACAGGGTAGCATACATCTATATATATAAAAGCCTAAATGACCGGCCGACCAGTAGCTATGATGCACACTGACCACCAGGAGGCAGACGCTCAACACAGGAGCTGCCAAGTGACAGCAACTTTGCAGAGTGCACTCAGGGACCCCTTGGGGGATGTCAGACTGCTGGTTTCAGCCTGATCCCCGCAGGCCAGGCCGAGGGACCCTACCTGCCAGAGGGACCCCACTCACTTAGCAGATGCCCTTTGAGCCCCAGCGCCGCCCCAGGTGCAGCTGGCCAGGGAGGGACCAAGGGAGGCTGGTTCCAGGGCACATCCGGTCCGTCTTGCCCAGTCCCGCCCTGCTGGCTACCTTCTAATTAATTTACTTTCAATGTGCACAAATCCGTGCACCGGGCCACTAATTGATTATAACCAACTCTGTGAAACCAGTAACCCAGCCACTTGAATTAAAGGAATAGAACTCCCCAAGTTATGGACACATAGTCAATTCTTATCACCACACTAAGCGGGTATCAGCCTAAATTCAAATATTCAGATTCCAAACTAAGAAAGAAGAAAAAGCAATCAAACCCTAGTGTTAAAGTGTTCTAAGACTCCCAGATTATGACTTACCAAAATAAAGAAACATCATCCAAGAAGACAAACTTTTATTCATTCTAATTCATCAAATTTCTTTCTAATTGGATGCCAAATACAGAGTGGGGCAAAAGTAGGTTTACAGTTGTGAGTACAAGAAACAGTTTATTCTTGTATTATGTTTTATTTATTGTATTGTTGCCATACAAATAACTATAAACCTACTTTTGCCCCACCCTGTATACAGTCTACTGAACAGTCTTCATTCTTAATAAAGATTCCTATCGTTCCAGTAAACCAGTTAGCCTCCATGCAAACTGTCTTCATCACAGGACTAAGAGTTGTTCTGCCAGCAGGAAGCCTACACGTCCCAACTCTACAGAAACTTCACATCTTCAAGACGCCGCACATATGGGCACTGAGCTGTCTTTTACTAACTCGTGACAACAGAAGCACTGATGTTCAGTGGAGATGCAGGCAGTTAACCACCAAATGCAAGACGCCAAAATGCAGAAAAACACAGATATAGGAACCCATGCTCCCTTAGTTAGTCAGTCAGCGTGCACAGTTTATACTGTTCAAAGCAAGCCAAGCAGAGCAAAGATCGTTCAAGAAACATGTTGGTTTCTGTCAAATCCAAATTAAATAATCTTCTCGTTTACAATTTCCTAGGTCAGTATTTCCAGTTAAAGCTAATATAAAGTAATACTATGCAAAATGACCTAAGAAGTTTGCCCTTCAAGAAATGATACCCCTAAAAATAGAAAGTTATCTACCTCATTAGTGTTCCAACGGTGCCTCTCTTTGGGTAAACTTGAACATTTCGGCAGACATTCAAGCAGCTTTTTCGGTAAAAAGATTTTTACATGACTACTATTGCTGTTCCCATGATCATCTATAAAGAAGAAAACAATAAATTCAGAGAAAATAAGAGAAAATCTCCTTTAAGTACTGGCAAGGTCAGAAGCAGCAGCTCGGGTGAGTCACTGAGACCAAGAGCGTCCCTCCTCTGAGTGAAATCCTCGTTTGCACTCTCAGAGCAGAGCTCTGCTCCCTGGCGAGCAGTGGGCAGGGACGACCCCAGCAGCTGCCCGTGACCAGACGTTACTTTTAAAGGTTCTCGCACCAGGTTTCCATGAAGTCCCCCAAAATTGCAAAATGACTTCACCCCCCAACAAAACCCAGAAACCCTCTATTAACCACTTGAAAAGGTTTAAGTTTTTTTAGGAAAGAATTCTAACAAAATAGAACTATCTTATTCATAAAATAATACTACTTCATCCTCTAGAATATAAACGAGACTTATCCTTTCAAAAGCAAATTACACATCTTATGATATAAGGAATTCAAGCCTGCAGTTAGCTAGGTAATACAGAGGCTGGCCTTTCTAGCCTAAATGTAAAAATATACCATTTTAGTTAACTCAATTTACATATACATATCTATATCATTAATGTATTTCATCAAAATATAACTCTTCTAAATTAAGTGAAAGAAAAATCTATTACTTTCAGTCTAGATGGGATGTCCCACTACCTGATAATTGGTCTCCCTGATACTTTCTAAAAGAGATCATTTCCTTTACGTATCATTTCATTCATTTATTTATTTGCACATCATTTCCTATTTCATTCCTATAACAAAGTCCCCTTTGCCTGGCTCAAAATTTCTTGCCAGTTTTGGCACATTTAGTTCCAAGTTTCAAATTACCCACTCCAGTTTTTTTTAATGTTAAATAGAAGCCCCAATATTCAAAGGATGCAGAGCATAACCAGGTACAAAGGAGCAATGCACTAAATACTAAACGCTGAATCTGCTCCAGAAAGCACGGCTGAAATAACGTATTCTGATATTAACAAGATATAATAAAAACACTGAACTCCAAGGAAGAGTCCAGGCTTCAGTCCCAGTTCTGCTGCTTTCTAATTGTGTGACCTTGGGTAAGTTACTTATATCTTCAGTTTTCCTAAATCAAAGAGAATCCGACTATCTCTAACTCTCCTCCAGAGCCCGGATAGAACTGACTGTAAGTCAATGACTTTACATATCTGGCAATTAAACAGCCTTTTATAGGCACATTGGTATTAGTTAAAAATGTTAAAAGTGAAATACAATAACATATCTTTCTAGTCAGTTACTATAATGTTGCTTACTTAGCATAGGTCTATTTCTTGAACATGTGAAAAACATAAAAGAATAAAAGTATGTTCTAGTCACAATAAAATCCTCTCCAAGCGTTTTTCATCTAATTTACACATTTCTCCTCAAGGAAAATATCTTAACAGGAAAATATTGGGCATAGAAATAGTCTAAAAAACTTTACTACATCATATGGAAATATTTTGTAGAAAGGAACTTAGGAGAGTTTTAGCATACTAAATCTTTTTTGGTCCATGAACTACATAACCAATTGAATTATAATGCCCATCTTCTATTTCTATAAGCAGTATAAAAACTTCAAAACTGACTGCTTTTAAGAATCTAAATTTTTAATTTAAGGGAAAAATTAAATTAAACTTTTTTCAAATCTTGCTATATAACCAAGAATGTTAAACTAAGAGAATGTTCATAGAAAGTTCTGTATTAATTGCACCCTATAAAACCCTTGTAACTTCAGGTGCTGACGCATGCGCCCTGCACTTCATGCCCCGAGGGGACCAGGGCCGGCAGACTTGAGACAGCAGAACACCAAATCCCAGGAGCCTTTACCTCCTGTCCCTTCTCTCTGCCCCTAAAGTGGTTTTATTCTACTTTATAAAATTTCCCATGTTGTGTACAATTCTGAAAGTAGAGGAGGAATCCTAAAATCTATACTTAACTCAAATATTCACATTTACAGGGTGCCTTTCTGAAAACAGTGCTATGCTAGGTGCTAAGTAAATGGCAGACCCTGAAATGTATGTATGTCTAGGCGTATCACTGAGAAAACTACTTAAAAACTACTTTAAACCATAATAACAGAATACTAAGCCTCAGCTTCTATTTCTATGTTTATGATCACAACCTGATGTCAAGTACCTGTCCTTTCAGCCTCTTTGAGGAACCAGCCGTCCCTGTGACATATTAAAGCACATCTATGTATGGGTATGTCTGCATGGCTGGG